AGCCCTGGACAATCACAGACAACGCGTTCTTGAACCAGTTTGCTTGTTGAATCCTCTGTAGCTACATTGGCTTTGCTATTTGATGAAGAACAACCATCATTGTCTGAACATAAGTTTCGAAGCAAGTTTGTTAGTGAAACTGTAATCTCTTTAAACTCGGGACGAGCGTTAGGATCTTCTGCCCAGCATGACTGAAGTATGGAAACAACTCCTTCTGGAAGATTCTCCAGGCTTGGTCTCTGGTTCTGAAGAAAGCAAAAGATTCAATAAAAGACCAATCTCATTTTCAAGTGATTTTTGAGATTTATAATGTGGTGGCTTACTTACTTTACTGACTGCATAAGCTACAAAGATTTTGTTTTTTCCTTTGAATGGGGTTTTGTTTGTAAGTAACTCCCAGAAAACAATGGCGAAGCTGTAAACATCCACCTTATGATCGTAGTGTTTCTTTTCGCCTATTAGAAGCGGCTCATGGCTGAATAACTGAGAAAACGAAACAAACATCTTGTGAAACCAAGAAAAAGATTGATGAAATCTGTTTTATGGATCGAAGAAACTCGAACAATCACCTCAGGGGCCATCCATCTGTAAGTACCAGCTTCACAGGTCATGAAACCTTTAGTCTCCTCTCTAGCAAGTCCAAAATCAGCCAACTTTACATGTTTCTGATCACCCGTTAAAAGCATATTACCTGCACAGAAACAAATCTTCCTCAATTCACAAGCTTGATTTTCTCTTTTGGTGATATTTCAGGTTAACTAAATGATTCATTTTTTACTTGGCTTCAAATCGCGGTGAATGATGCCATTTGCATTCAAGAACTCCATTCCCCGAGCAATATCCAACGCAAAGCTAATCGAGAGCTTCATGTCAAGAGGCTCCGGACGAGTACTCAGCATAAACTTCTGAAGTGTATCGCCTTCCATGAGTTCAGTAATTATCATCAGCTTTGGTTCGATGCAGGCCCCAATAAACTGCCATCAATACATTGCGAGATTACCAAAGGCTTACGAGGTAAGGCTTAACATATGAAACATCAAAGTCTCCAAATTACCTGCACAATGTTTTCATGTTTGATCTTGGAGAGCAGCAAAACCTCTCTTTGAAACTTCTTCTTCTGCTCAATACTTACAGCACATGTTCTTTTAGACTGGAATATCTTCACTGAGACAGGGATAACTTTCCTGAACCTATAAATCATCGATACAGAAATATCCATTAACCCATATCCTAATCCAACAACTATGCCGATGACTCAGAGACGATATCACTAGTCAAGCAAGAAAACTTCATGAAGCATTTACTAAACTCTCACTGATTGTGATTGTCATTCATAAGAAACCATTCAATAACTTGGAAACACTAAAAGCTTAGACTACATAAACACTTACTCATACCATTGATCGACTTAATCGAATTTTCAATGTCCATTCAGCATTAATGCAGGTTAACATAATAAATCACTGAATTTTGACCAAGGAATCATTTTGATTATTATAAACCCTGAACAGTATCAAAGATCCCAAATTTCAATCAGCAATAAACCCTGAAATCTATACTCTTAAAATAGGTTTATAGCTCGAGATTTCTCAAGAAATTAACAATCAAGAAAGAAAACAAAATCGCATTTTCATCAAAACCCATATAACCAAAAAGACTGATTTTTANAGTAGGAATCGAGAAACGGAGGAAAAACCCACAATCCTTTGTAGACTTTCGAAGATGAACCTTCACCGATCAATTCACCTATAGATACGTCTTTGGAATCGACGAGCAATTCTGTGTTGATACTGAAAGCGAATTGATGATCGGTGGACTCGAGGCTTTCGTCGTCGTCGGCGTCCGATTCGAACGACTTGAGACCATGTGAGGACATGAGAAATGGGTAATTTGGATGAAGCGTCTTCTCCGCCGGAATCGCCGTCGGTTCCTCCATTAACGGAGCTCGTTGGTACCCGCGAGGTCTCATTCTCTAAGTAAGCGATGAAGACGAGAAAGAGAGTAAAAAGCGTGACGCTCCAAATTTATATAGACGAAACGTTTGGGGTGTTTCTATAATATCTACAAAATATGAGAGCTTTCCTGAAATTTGTTTTTTTCTTTCAAAAAGGGCTTTGGATGTGGAACGGGAGGGAAAAGAAGGGAAAATTTCATATTAATGTCTATTAAATAACAAATTCAAACACATTTATTTTTTGTCTCTACAATTTTCGTGTGTTATATGCTTATAAATGAAGATTGTTGACCCAAAAGAAAACTTATAGATGAAGTTTGATTGAAAAAACAAATCTACTAGTATATAACAAATTCAAACACATTTCATTTTTCTGTAAAATTTCGTGTGTTAATAGTGTTATATATGAATGAAGATTGTTGACCCCAAAAAAGATGAATATTAATTGACAAAAAGAAAAAAATGACTATTGTGGATTTTCTTCTGTTCGTTTTTCATATTGATTAATTAATGTGTGTAGAATGTGGATTACAAAACATTATCTTAATCCATTAAATATATTTAGTTATAATACTTTTTCGTGAAATCTCCATTTTTGATAAGAAATTTGTATCGTTTAATTTTTTTTTGTTTTTGGAATTTTATCCATACAGGATTTTTAATAAATAAAGGAAGATCTATGAGTAATTAATTTAGGAGTTTCTGTTTGGGATGAATATGATGAAACAAAATAGGTAAGTATCTCATTGTATGAACAATTTTTTATACTAATGGAAATTAGGTTCTGTATACTTTATATGACATTATATTAGCATAATATAACAATTTTTGAATCATCTATATATATAATTGTGAGGTCAAAAATCCTACGTGGCGGCCTCACAGCGAGTTTAAGACTTGCTTTGCCGAAAATACCATTAATGATCGATTTATTTACATCTTTTGCCATTGAGTTATTTTTTGGGTCCAAAATAACACTAAAACATTTTTGTTATTATTGGACTTAGGAATTTTTTATAAAAAAATAATAAATTACGAAAATAATATTTTTTTAAAGGTCCATTACTTTAGTAAATATTTGTTAATAAATTACGAAAATAATATTTTTTTAAAGGTCCATTACTTTAGTAAATATTTGTTAAATATTATTATATGATATAATAAAAATTTATGGTAATTTTCAGTTAATATCTAATCATATATAGGAAATATTTTTTCATTTTATTAGTG